AAGTGGCCCAAACCGAGATCTGATATTAGGTATAATTTTTTTTTTCGAGGCCAAGAGGAACCCCACCCCCCATCCAAATACGGAAATTCCTTATCATGGTAGCCCCTTGACACCAGTGGAGTGTCAGGTAACTCTGTGACTGTCAGATAACTGTGACATTAGTGGTTATCTGGCATCGACCACCATCCTCAACCATTGTTATATCCTGATCCAAAAGGGGGGAAGGACCTGGAGCCCACAGGGGTCCGGTCAGGTGCATGGTCAGAAGACTGGAAGTTGGAATGGGACCGGATCTCGAGAAGTTGGCCTTTCTGGCAAGCACCGCAGCTCAGAAGGGTGTGCAACAGTCTGGCATCCAAGCTGAGACAAACAGAGGGACAGATACTCCATGGCATATAGCCAAGCCAAGAGAGCCTACTCTGGAAATGGTGACCTGATTGAAACACTGCTGTCAGCAGTGTTGTCTTGGACGGGGTCTGACCGGGTCTGACCAGATGTCAAGACCTCTTGACCGGACTTTGACCGTTTTGTCAAGGCCGGATTTCCTTTTTGGGAATATCTGTTTAAATCACTCATAGAGGCATGATAAAAATCAGGAAAAAAAGGGGGTATCATGAGCATTGATCTACGAGTCCATATCTTCCATCATGATGTCATACAATTCCATTTCATGCTGGAGATCCTTTACCCTGCCCTCCCAATAAAATCCCAACCCATTCTCGAGGCTCTCCATGCCGTTCGCAGGATATTGGAACAACTCTTTGAGCGTGTAATTGGAGCGTGAGTGAATGACCGGTATTTCCTCATCGTTGCCATTGTCTTCTTCGTCGATTGGTGCATTTCTGCTGTTGGTAAGGTCATCACAAAGCTGAGTCGTAAGGCTTGCAAATAAGTCAGCAGCATTGTAATCCATCCCATTCACTCCATTTCCCTCACCCACATACTACTCCGCGAAATGGACAAATTTTCGTTTGATCCGATCTGTTGTTAGCCCCAATTCCTCGTGCTGGCGTTTGAGATCCATATCCACGTTCGTCATCTTCTTCACCTTTTGAATGGACAGCTGGCTTCGAAGCTTCGTCAAAAACAGTCCGAACTTGCTGAACCCACGCTCAGAGCCTGCCGAGTTCGCAACGATGCTCAAAACCCAAAGTGCGAGCTTGACCAGTCTATTACGGTCATTTGACTCCCCGGTGTCGAGCTGCTCCCAAACCTTGGTGATGCTCACACATTTATTCTAGGATTCAGATTCAATTAGTCCATTTCGAGATTTAAATAATAGAAGTGCACAGACCTCGCGCTGATACAGCTGCTTCATCTCCGCGAGATTCATGTACTGGGAGGAAAATTCGCGCAAGTCCTTGGAGCAATTGAAGAATGCCTCATGGAAGTCAAGATTGGGTTCGACGTCGAAGAATTTGTGAAAGAGCCGCTTCGCGATTTGGTAAAGGTTGATTGGCTTCACGACGGGATTTTTGGTCGAAAATGCGGCACAGCGGATGTAAGGGTTGAGATAGACAGCGAGAATAAACACATCTTGCTCCATAGGGAGCCAGCACTTCTTGAGGCTTTTTCGGATGCAAGTGCGGACATGTGAGTTGATCTCAGGTGCACCGTAGATTCTGTACAGGTTGCCGAGCATCAGCAGAACCTGATCGAGTCCGGCATCTGGAGCCTGCATGCATTTCGCTGCAATTGCCAATGGCTCCAGCAGAATTTTGACTCTGGTGAAACAAATGAACACAATACTTCAGAGGTGCAAGATGAATCGTACTCGGTGAGATTTTTCCAGAATTGAGGATTGTCTATTGGTGCCAGAATTTCTTCAGCCTTTGCTCTGGCATCCGCTTTAGGCCCGGCACATTCAATGAGCACCTTGTGATGTTGTAAATGCAAGACGCGCATTGGCGGCGAAACGATGAGAATCCGGCAGACTGCGAGAAAATAATAGATCCATTGGGAGATGACAGGGAAAATGAGTCTGAGAATTCGATGAGTCTTCTCGAAGCGCTCAGTCAGTTTTTGTTGATCCGCTAAGAGTCCGATCGCCCGGCTGTGGTTTGTGAACCACTTGACTATATCCAGGCCCTCGTCGACAGACAGCATGCAGGGGATTTCAATTTCGAGGACCTCGCCAACAACAAGATTGACTTGAGTGCAGCAGTCTAGTCAGAACAGAGGTTGCAACACATTTTGAAACGCACCTGATGTCCCCAACACGGTGGTACAGTAAGTTTAGGCTTCAATTGTTTAAGCCTGACACGCATCCCCGTGCATCCTCGCTGCCGTCGGTACAGTAACCAACCATAATGATGCCGCGCTCTTCGCAATATGTGATGTCTTCGAGGACAATCTGCAACAAGTTGTCCGATGTTTTTCTCTCAGGAGATATGTTGTGTGCGGCGTTTATGTATAGCTGTGACAGAGCCGATATTAGCGTACACACCAGATATTAAATATGCCACTCACTGTTGCATCTACAGTCACAGACGTGGTAACAACCGCAGCCTTGGCGTTGGTTTTCCAGCCATCACATTGGCCGGTGCCGAATCTCCCTGCAACCTTCGACTTCATGCCGGCCTCTGCCTCGGCTGCGAGCAAATCCAAAACATGTCCAGAAAGCACCTGACGGTCCGGGATTTTCGCTTCAGGGACGTACTTGGAGAAAAAAAGGTTCAACTGTGCATTCAAGGCAGAATTCCATGATATATTGCAAGCAACAAACAATTTGCACAAATCCTGCGCAAACTCCTGCTGCGGCAGATCCCACATCACCCCATGACTCCGGGTTGTGGGTGGGAGCTGCTGATCCCGGAGCACATGAGGAATGTTCAACGTCATCCGTGCTGTCGCATCAACAAGTGTGGGGAGGGAGGTGACAAGATGCCAACTAGGGCCGGATATTTTCGCAGCGGGCTGCGGAAGCGAGGGCACTGCAGCTCGGGCAGCACTCTGGACACAGGATAGTCCAAGATTGGGGCCGGGGCCATTCTCTTTTTTTGCTGTGGCTTTTGTGAGTGCCTGCAAGTCGGGTGCCACATGAATGCAGCGACTAAGGTGGGAAAGCCAATGTTCCGATTTGCCAGATACCGTGGGAACGTCTCGCTCCGCTGTCAAGGATTAAGACGGGGATCAGAGCGCGACTATTGCACCATGCACCTTGGGTGTCCAAATCTGTGGCTGACCTTATGTACTCTCTCACCCCCGTGTTGACCTCCGCTTTGTCGGCCTCGTTCAACTCCCTGACCCGGTGAGCAATGCATGCTTTGCAGCGGCTTTCCCAGTGAGATTGATCATTTCGGTATTTTTGTTTGCCCTGCTGGAAGTACTCTTTGGCCCACGAGGACATCCAGAAGTGAGAAACAGGTAGGTAATAGCTCTCAGATGTAATAAGGATGATGAGTGGCGCCGGCCAGGAAGCGGGAAAAAATGATTTGTGGGTCCACGGTCAAAATACCGTCAAATACCATCAAGACCATGGTCACGTGGCCGTCAGCGTCAAATCCGTCAGACCTTTTTGACCCTCGGCCCGGCCTCAGATAACACTGGCTGTCGAGCCCATTAACCTGCGATCACATCCCTATATGTTTCATTTTAACTCCTTTCTGGTTTCAACTAAACCCCTTTATGTTACACATAGGGTATATTATGATCGGACTCCTAGATACAGTAGTATATAAACCCCAGGTAAAATCCCCTGTACTTTAGATTCTACCTCGTCTATTCACTGGTCTTGATTTGGCCTGTTCTTGAGCTGTGTTCAGCCTAAGCTTTCTCTGCTTTCGCTATCTCATTGACTCGGGTTTCCCTCTCCACTTTGTTCTGCTGGCAAACCCTTGTCTCCTATTTCAACTCCTGTCTCAGACCTTTCTCAATTCTGTCGATGGAGCCTAGTGGTGGGTTGTAGAGTTGTGAAGGACTAGCCTACAGGATAACGCTGGTATCAAGACTCTCAGTGGCATGGACACGGGAGTCTTGATCGCGTTCAGGGCTAGAGGGAGACAACCACCACAACAACAACTATTCCTATGTCTCTCGGCATTAGAGCGTAGAGTCCAAAGGAGCCTCCGTTAGATATCCCTGGATCCTCCCTCCTGTTCGCTGGTCTATGATCAACCCATGTGTGTCATCCCATAATCCCGCCAGTAATCCCGTTGGGATATGCCCCACATCGATTCAATTATCCTAGGCCCGTCAGGACTACTTCAACCACAGTCTAACCTCTGGTTGAACTACTCCTGGGAGCAATCCTCGGTTGTCGGCCATTCATATGTTCACCATGAACAGCCAGTTCCTCTCAACACCTGGGCTAGGACTTGCGGTTCTGTTGTGCTTGGTTGCAGACAGGTTGACCCAAGGACCGTTGTTGACACGTTTCTGAGGATTCAAGTACACCAGATGCGACAATTTTCGAGACCCTTTGAAGCACTGTGCTGTGATGCTAGTGGGGGTATTGGAGTTGATGCATGATGCCTCAGGCATCACTCGGGCAAGCCACCAGCTGATCAGAATATAGTGGAGTATTTCGGAACATTGGAGTATAACCCCCGCCCGTCTTTGTAATAGCCTCGGCTATACCTCGGCCTTGTAGTATATATAAGCCGCACACTTTCTCTGTATTGCTCCCGAATTGCAGCCACAATATTGGCATATATAAGTCCGGGGTTCTCGTCCGTACAGCCACCTTTTTTCTGGCCCAGAGTTAGGCCTCAAAGCTTGGTACTCCAAGTTAGTAGTTGCAAGTGCTGCCGAGGCACCATCCGTGATACCGATGGCTTGATTCCATCAAACGTGATCATGTGCCGATCAAAACATACTTTACAATAAGCGCCCTAAGTTAAAGAAAGAGTGATTTGGGAAGGTACAGGGAAGGGGAAATTTCTGTGAAGGGACAAGACTCAGAGCAAGAAGCACATTATTATTTCGCCCGGTTGCCAAGGTTCGGTGAATCCTGAACGCAGTTATCACGGAAGCAGATGAGTGGGAGGGACGCAAAAAGCTGACCCCTGCCCGGATTGAACGGACGGCCTTCGCGATGCACAGACTCAAGATTGGAGCTGGAATGCGACGCTCTACCACTGAGCTAAGGGGTCATTTTTGATCTAATCTCTCCACATTGACATGGTGCGCAGATCTATTGACAGTACTTCCGCATCAAAATTTTCCGATATTCTGAATTTTCCCAACGTCCAACGTCTTAGAATTCGACCATCAGTTGTGCCCCCATACAATCCGTACAATTATCCGACGTCTGAATCCCTCCATAGTCAGATTGTGCGCAGATCCATTGACAGTACTTCCGCATCAAAATTGTCCGATATTCCCAACGTCCAACGTCTTAGAATTCAACCATCAGTTGTGCCCCCATAAAATCCGTACAAGTCTGTCTACACACACAGCGGGAGGCTCAATATTTACCTTCCCCTTTGAATACACTGGCGAAACCAACGACGAGCTTTGTGGTTCCTTTCCCAGTACATCGGCAAGTCCCGCCGAATTAGGACGTGTATGGTAGCGTCGTCGGTGTAGTGAGCTATATTGCGGATCCCACTTTGGCTGCAGGCTGACCTGCGACTTGGAGCATTCGAAGAAGCAAATCTATTCGGTGAAAGACTGTTTGAAACGCAACTCAAAACTCTTGGAACTCGTACAGGATGGTGTGCAACCCGGACACATAAGGAAGAGAATGAGGACCCAGCATTGACAGAGCCCAACACCATCATATTTTGAACATTAGGTCAGCGATATTAATATTCGGTCAAAGCCCGGATAATTCATAGCAGTATGCTGACACTTTGTGCATGCGCCGTCCAGCCTGTGCATTGCGGAAGTGAGCTGGCCAATGATATCCGAGCCCCCGGTGTTACTCGCGCAGAACAGGCATGTGGGGCGATTTGTGTTGGGTGGTGACTCCCGAGTTGTTCCTACTACTCGTCGCCGGATGCGGCGCTGCGGGGTACTTATTGGCGTGACTCGACCTACTCTGACTCGAACGAAGTCATTTCTGTATGACTCGGAATTGATGTGACTCATAGCACTAGTATATAAGGACCTGTAATTTTCCTGAAAAGCATCTCACTTTCCCCCCATCTTCCCTGCCAGAATCTTGGGTGAACATAAGTTCAGAGCCACGCTTAGCCCGTGTCTCCTAGGTCACTCTTGTAATTTGTGCCGATAGTGGTATCCAATCAGCCTATCTGCAAACCTATTGCCGAAACATTACAATATACATATATCCGAAATGGTCCATCTCTCCAGTCCCACCATCATCAGTTCAATCCGCATTCGAACATGGAAACACGAAGATCTGCCCAGACTCATCTCACTACAGCAGATCTAGCGGGTACCGTCTTCTGTCCGCCTATCGCCGGATTTGCTCGATTTTGGCTCGGTATATTCTTTGGGATGTTCACGATATGAGCAGTACGAGTCAGGCATTTGTTAAACTTAGGCGTAAGATATTTTAGAAAAGTATTCCGTGAAGGTTCTCACATCTTGATTCTGGCGCGTTGGAATTCGTGTTCCAAACTCAAGCTACGCGTCCCCCAGATTGATGGTGCCGCGGATGTGGAGCGCGCCCTTGACGATCTTAGGGGCCGCCCTGGCGATACGTCTCCTTCAAAATTAGGAGAGAGTCCATGAGCTTGCGTCGAGGAGCTAGCTCGAGATTGATAGGGTTCGACGGTGCCTAACTCCTAACCGAACACCAGGAAATGCGGCGTCATCCGCTCAGCCGTAAAGTGGCCCTCTAGAGAGCAGCGGTCAATACTTCACGATGGCCATCACGTACAGCGCTTGGAATCCCCAATTCAGTACCAGGGTCATATCCTGATTCAAGATGCCGATGGAAAAGGAGAAACACAAGGATCGGCACGCGCACGCCCCTGTATCTTGCACCATTACGATCGTGCAAGTGGTAGGGGTTAAGAGATTATCGCCGGGGTCGTATAAAATGTACCGGAAATCTTCCCTCGTCCCATCAAAATATGGCGCCTCTTCCAGTCGTTACCTTTATTCTCGGTGCATGGGTGCGTTTCCGAATTTATAATTCTTTCTTCATGCTGATTCGGCGTACAGAATCTTGGAATATCTGGCGACCTGCTCCTCCAGGGTGTTCTATTTGCCCAGTTCACTCATTACATCACCCTATACAAGAAAGACATCCTGCTCCTGCGCGCTTTCGTTGGGGGCCTCCTGGTACTCACGACGTTGAAGACCGTACAATGCCTGTAAGTGATCTCATCATTGCTTCGTGCTACACCCTCTGATCTCTGAACCAGAGCGATGCTGTGGGCTCAAAATGTGGTATACTTCGTCGACGTGTTTGGCGCGTTAAACATGTTCTACGCATTTTGGCCTACCGAGATCAACGTCATGTTCGTTGCGTTCATCGCGTTTTATGTCCAATTATTTTTCTGCCAGCGCCTCTGGGTGAGCTCATCCGCTAACTGCACATTCCGCATGCTAATATCGACACAGGCCATATCGAAGAACATTTACATCGTTGGTTTAATTGTCGCGCTGTTTGTCTTCGCCCTCGTCGCTGCCTTCGTAGCGGTGCGTCTTTTGCTCGGAATGGGATCAAAACCCTGATATTTGTACAGACCGCCTTCATTTTCGCAGACAACTCTTTGAAGGTTAGACCATGGCGTACGTGACTACGAACGAGGGCTATCTTTTTCTCATGTTCGACCGACTTTCTTTTCAGTTGCGATTAATTTGTCAACAGTTTTCGCAGGGGATGTCATTCTATGCGCGAGTACCATCTATTTCCTGTTGGTCAGTCCCACCAGTGATTGCACCCTTAGGCGCAGCTGACGACTCTCCTCACCAGAACCGCTCCAACGGAGCGATGCCGCAAACAGCGGGCATGCTGAAGTCCATCATGAAGCTCACATTCCAGGTGCGCCGTCATCCCCGCCAAATTGGTTGATCCACTAATGGCTATCTCTCAGTCGGCGGCACCAGCCGCGCTATGCGCCCTCATCAACTTGGTAGCGTCGCAAGCCGGTAACAAGATTGCCACCGCCAACGCCTTCTCCATGGTCGCCATCATCGCCAACACCTTACTGCCCAAACTATACGCGATTTCCGCGATGTGGACGCTCAACTCGCGCAGGGACCTTCGGCTCGCGCGCTCGAACGGGCAGAACACCAGCAGTACGGAGGGGACGAGCGGGCGGCGGGCGCGCACGAACAACGTGGAGCTCGGCATTCTTTCGGGAGCCGGGAACCGCGTCCCCATCCAGGTGCGGACGCAGGTGCAGACTGTCCAGCATTCGGATGGTATGTTCTCGAAGTCGGCGCTGGACTATGTGGACGAGCGCGATTCTGCAACTTTGAAGAACTAGGTGTAATGGGACGTCTGTATTAGTAGCTTGGGTTATAGTGTTCAATTCACGTAGCGGACCTCGAAACGTCCGCACATTTTCGACGCCGTGAGGGGTGAATGAACCAAGACCGCTCCTGGATCACCATGCGCACACTTGACTGTGCCTTACATCATTCCATCCTGGGGACATTTTTACCGCCCGTGGAATCTGCAGCTGACATAAAAGTGGTGAATAGGGCTAGATGCGACGCGCGCAACGAAAGCTGGATTCAAAAAATATATTGGTTCAGTGTAAAGGATTCAAGCGTGCACTGAGCCCAACTCTATGCTGTCGCAGCACTGAGCAAGACGCAAGACAGTTCGAGCACAGACGACGTACCGAGCATCACTCTTAGCTATCCTCGCCTACAGCTGCCCCAATTCGATCGTTTCGGGCGCAAGGTCGTCCCCCCAGAGCGCCTGGACGACGTAGTTGTAAACGGACCAGAAGCGTTTACGGGGCTGCGCAGGAAAGGCGTTGAACAACGGGCAGTAGGCGAGAAACGGAAGGAAACATACAGGCGGAGTCGGGGCGCCGAACGTGTCGGCCGCCGAGTAGACGGGCGGGGCGTTGGAGGCGCTCGCGGCGGGGCTGTATTCGGGCGGGGCTCCCGACGGGTCGGTCGCTGCGTATGTTGGGACGGGGTCAAGCTCCTCGGGATACATCGTATCAAAACTGAAAAGAACAATGGGGTACATGTCAGCGTCTGCAAAAGAGCGCGCAGCGGCGACTTGCCGTTTGTCAGCGCCGGGTTGTGGTGGGATGTGGGTGTGGCTGGATCTGTGGGTGGGTTGAACGAAGGTCAGCCTGGAAGACAAAGGAAGGAGCGAGCGAGAGGCGGGGGCGGCTTACAGTCGTAAAACCGAGTGGGGGTGGTGGTGGTTCGCGGAAAGAACTGCGCAGCCTTTCCGTCGCACGCAGCGCGGCGAAAAAAGGGACGGGATCGACCCCGTCCATTTAGGTTCGGCTTCTTCAGCGCCTAAATTTACAGGGCTTGACATCCCTGAAAAAACATTTGTTGCTCTGTCGAATTGCCCACATTTGCGCGGAGACAAGGCCGTCGGGGACTGCATGCACGGGCTAGAAAAAACGGCGCTGAATGACCAGAAAACGGGTGAGCACGCTAGGAATTTAACCGAAGAGATTTCGACATACAGATCAAGTCACGCGTCAGCGCCGTCTACTACAATCTCTCCACAGCCTGATCGACAATGGCGCGTCAATAGTACCCGACGTGCGAACGCGCCCACCCGCCCACAATCGCGGGCCAAGATATTCATTCCATCACCCCCCGCACTGAGAGGAAACAACGACGGACGAAAAACCAATATCATCATCATGCTCAAGCCGTCGTACAAGCTCACCTCGGCCCTCTTCCTACACGACGTCAAAGGCGCCCACCAGGCGACGCAACACCTCAGCGGAGGCCGAGTACAAGTCGGGCGCCCCAGGCGTTGAAGCGTACCACACACGCTGTCGAGAAACGAGGATATGCGCCTCAGGTGCGTCCGCAACGGCCCGTGGTGCCTCGCGAGCTGAGCGCCGCCCCGCCCGCAGATCCAGAGCGAGGGCCTCGCGCTGTCGTAGTCTCCTCGCAAGCCGGTCGCAGTCTCCTCGCAAGACGGGCACTGTGCATTCGATGCTGGTCTAGTCGTTGTCCCGTCGCAAGCGCCCAGGCGCCTGCTCCTCCTCCCCACCGTTGTCCTGCGTCCGCCATCGCT